ATTTTTATAAACACACACTATAATTCACAGCGATTCACACACTTTACTTACAGTGCCTGCTGCTCGCTTGACTCAATTATCTCAATTCTTTCTCTTCAATCTATCTCTGGCTTATATATTAAAAAAAAGAGCGTCTAGCAAATGCTGGGACATTCGTGAGGTTGCCCGATAAGTCACGATCCTTCTAGAAACTCCAGTGCACATGCTCCCAGCGTCGCGTGAGTTCCACTGTTGTAATACAATGTTTAGACACTATTAGGGGTTCAACTTGGGTTAATATTCTTGTCAACAGTATTCATGGTTTTATTGAAATACATATTAGTTTTGATTTATAAAAACTTCTAATGCTAATGTACATAAGCAAATCTGGCGTTGATCTATCTTAGTATCACCATTATTTATAAAATTGTGACTAGAGTATGCTGATTCCAGACATTTAATTAGAAGGTTTCCTTTGTTCTATTTAATTATATGTGCATGGAGTCAGTCCTAAGGACCAATCTCATTTTGGAGAAGGAATGTTGACCATAATTCTGCATTTACTATCTTCACAAAATGTGGCACTCTTTTAGTAAAATGTACAAGCCTGCTCTAAACAAGAAATCAGATGTGTTACAAAAGTATTTGTACTCAAGATATGTCTGTAACTTGCTGACATCAGTCTAATTTAGACTCTAACAAGCTAGAGTGCAAGGTGATGTTCATGTGAACATCAAAAATACTTTTGTTCATTATACAGTTTGTATATTATATTTATTTAACCCCTAGAACCTCTAAGATGCATATCCACTTTTTTTTTTCAATTGTATCTGATATTTATTCTACTATGATGTACCACTAAATCAGCAATATAGAGTTAGATGAATAGTGATAACTCTGACACGAAATACATAATACCTTGTAGAATGGCACTCTGTAAAAGGTTGTGTCACATGCACTTTGACCCCTCCCATTCATATGGGGTTAAATACATGTAAACTTGATGATGCTGACCCCTTGACTGACTTGCACACTAAATATTGGCCTGTATGTTATGTAAACATTGGAAATGATTGGTTGATTTAAATTTTCTAAAACCATTTATTCTTCTGTGACAAGCAAATAACTTCTGGACAGAACTTGCTGACATGTTGCTGCTTATTGACCATCACCAATTTTTTTAAATAACTATTGTGTGATGTGTAAATCATTTCTTGATAGTTATGGCAGTTTGCTGAGCTTCTGTCATTTTACATTCTTAATTATTGGAAAATGATTTTTTTATTTGTTTAACTTCAACATATAGTAATCTAAGTTAATTTAGGTATATGAATAATACCTTTTGTTTATAATTAAACAACTGTCATTTACCCACAGTTTTACACTTGATATCCTTGGAACTTGTATATTTTTATTAACTTTGTTTAAAACTAAGAAATTTCCCAGTTTTGTATATTTGTAGTTAGTTTATGTAATTTTAAAGTTAAAAAGAAAAGTATTCCTTTAGGTTGGTATTTTATTTAAAATATTTGAAGATAGTATATTGAAATACTCGCACAAAAAACCAACTTACATATGTCTTTATTTTTTAAACAATTTATTTCAGCCCATTATAACACAATTGACCAACTTCTGAATATTCAAACATTTTCAATGCTGAGAACCTGGTTGCTTAGTGTCTGTAGAGACCATCAGGGGGCAGTAATAGAGAAACATTCATGTCCACATTTGGGTGAAGTACTTTCTGTTGAGATTTCTGGAAGCATTAAAGACTACTGTATACGAATTGTGGACCAGAGTGATCGAAGTATGGCTGAGTAAACTGTTTTTTACCTTTTAACTTTAGCATCAGTGGAAAGATTTTGTTTATGTGTTCAAGTGTATTCTTAAGTCTTTAAATTGATTATATGTAACTTATAGTATGATATTAATTAATAATGATTTGTATACGAAATGCAGTAAAAAATATGATGTTTAATAATAAAACTAAGTTTTATTTTTTTGTATCTGTTTTACTTTATCTGAATGTTTTTTTTTATGACAAACATTTTGTAAGTCCATTTGAATTACACTGATTTAATATATTGGAATTTTTAAAAACTATAGGAGTTGTTAATATTATTTTAGTGTTGTAAAGCATAATGGCTAGCTTTAATTCTCAAGGAAAAGTTACATCTTAAAAAATGGTTATCATTTCTATTATAAAAAAATGTCTAACTTATCTGTATAAGATATTCTAATGAGTTTGTAACAAGTCAGAGGAAAGATATTTTAATACTTATTGTTAATATAAAGTGTTTTCACTCACTCTATTTATATGTGCATAAGTTATCTTTCACTTGTAAACTTTCATACCAAGCTGCCACTAAGTGAATGTCATCTTTATCCCTGTTTGTTAACTTTCACACCAAGCAGCCACTAAGTGAATGTCATCTTTATCCCTGTTTGTTAACTTTCACACCAAGCAGCCACAAAGTGAATTTCATGTTTATCCCTGTTTGTTAACTTTCACACCAAGCTACCACTAAGTGAATGTCATCTTGTTAACTTTCACACCAAGCTGCCACCAAGTAAATGTCATCTTGTTAACATTCATGCCACGTTGCCACTAAGTGAATGTCATCTTGTTAACATTCATGCCACGTTGCCACTAAGTGAATGTCATATTGTTAACATTCATGCCACGCTGCCACTAAGTGAATGTCATATTGTTAACATTCATGCCACACTGCCACTAAGTGAATGTCATCTTGTTAATTTTCACACCATGCTGCCACTAAGTGACTGTCATCTTGTTAACATTCACACCATGCTGCTACTAAGTGAATGTCATCTTGTTAATTTTCACACCATGCTGCCACTAAGTGACTGTCATCTTGTTAACATTCTCACCATGCTGCTACTAAGTGAATGTCATCTTGTTAACTTTCACACCACACTGCCACTAAGTAAATGTCATCTTGTTAACTTTCACACCAAGCAGCCACTAAGTGAATTTCATCTTTATCCCTGTTTGTTAACTTTCACACTATGCTGCCACTGAGGAATGTAATCTTGTCAACTTTCACTCCAAGCAGCCACTAAGTGAATTTCATCTTTATCTCTGTTTGTTAACTTTACATCAAGTTGTCACTAAGTGAATGTCATCTTTATCCCAGCTTGTTAACTTTACATCAAGTTATCACTAATTGAATGTCATCTTTATCTCAGCTTGTTAACTTTACAACAAGCAGCCACTAAGTGAATGTGATTTTTATTTCAACTTGTTAACTTTCATACACAGCTGCCAGTTTTTATATTTTTGTTCCAGGAACATCTAAAAAATACCTCTTGCAACAAAAATCGTTCTTTTGTATCATTGCCATGGTTAGTAACCTAAACAGTCAACAATATTTAAACTTAAGTGATCATTTAGACTACTAACCACATAGATGATCACCACAATCTTACCGTAACAACCTTTTATATATGTCTCCATGTACTTGGACATATCAAACAATCCATCCCCTTCATTCTGTTATCAGTTTTTAAATTTTTATCATCCCTGTTTCAGTTCTGATTTCAATGTTTGTGCTTACGTTGTGGATATTTTATTGTTCTTGTTTACCAATATTGGTTTTAGAGCTTCTCTCGTGAGTGATTTTTACTTGTTATTTAGATATCCTTTTACTATTTTGGTTTTACACACATTTTTTAGGCCTTTTCATCCTACGTTCTTTGGAACTGTTGTTCACTTGTTATTGCTCTTTTGATCATTGTTTTCTATCAGTTGAACATTCGTTTCTTCTCCAAGCTTAATTCTCACCAATAAAAGTAATAAACTGTTTTTACCATCAACCATATTTCCCTTTCTTATCAGTTTTCACATCCAGACCTGGATAGGATTCCTTGTCTGGTACATTTCAAATTTTCTCAAAGATTTCGCATATTAATTTTTACATGATCCCGTAAATGTCATATTCCCTTATGCTCCTTCAAAATGTTTATTACTTAGGTTCACATTTCTTAGTATTGGTAACAAATCTGAGTAGCAGCATAGCAGAAAGATGGTGTTTAGATAACTAACATATATCTAGGTAGTGGATAGTAGAAAGATGGTGTTTAGATAACCAACATATATTTGGGTAGTGGATAGCAGAAAGATGGTGTTTAGATAACCAACATATATCTGGGTAGTGGATAGCAGAAAGATGGTGTTTAGATAACCAACATATATCTGGGTAGTGGATAGCAGAAAGATGGTGTTTAGATAACCAACATATATCTGGGTAGTGGATAGCAGAAATATGGTGTTTAGATAACCAACGTATATCTGTGTAGTGGATAGTAGATATATGGTGTTTAGATAATTGGTGAGAATTAAGTTTGGAGATAGAAAGAGTGTTCAACTGATATAAAAACAATGATCCAAAGAGCAATAACAAGAGTAAGGCCCAAAGAAGGAAGGATGAAAAGGTCTAAAATGTGTGTAAAACCAAAATAGTAAAAGAAGACATAAATGCCCCTTTAACTCTTACCATCCAAAGTGAGGAAAAAATCCAAAGATACTTGATGGAACTTAAAAACAAAAACATTATATCTGAACGTAGTTTGTTGTCTAAGCTTGTATATCATATAGTGATAAGATCCATAATATGTTCCAAGTTCTGTGTCATTCTTCTACACTTTCCAGTACTTTCGTAGGAGGTTCTTCTGACTTAACACCACTACACCAGTTATGCTTTTGGATAGAACAAGATTTTACACTTCCATTCTTATGTGTCTCTGTCCCTATCATGTGGTGTTTCTTGAGACCAGTGATTCATTCTCTGTCCCCATCATGTGGTGTTTCTTGAGACCAGTGATTCATTCTCTGTCACCATCATGTGGTATTTCCTGAGACCAGTGATCACTTTTCTTTCCCCATCATGTGGTGTTTATTGAGACCAGTGATCTCTTCTTTGTCCCCCATTATGTGGTGTTTCTTGAGACCAATGATTCATTTCCTGTACCCATCATGTGGTTTCTTGAGACCAGTGATTCATTCTCTGTCCCCATCATGTGGTATTTCCTGAGACCAGTGATCCATTCCCTGTCCTCATTATATGGTATTTCCTGAGACCAGTGATCTATTCTCTGTCCCATCATATGGTGTTTCTTGAAACCAGTGATCAATTCTCTGTCTCCATTATGTGGTGTTTCTTGAGATCAGTGATCCATTCTCTGTCCTCATCATGTGGTGTTTCTTGTGACCATTGTCTCTACCATTTTTTTATATTGAGGCTTCTGAACAGCTTTCTTTCTAGGTTATTTGTACAAGGCATGATAATGGTCAAACACATCTTCTGATGAATAATGTTATATATGTGTTCCTTGTCGCTTTTGAAACCATCTTTTTGATGAGAGTATAATTAACAATGACATAACCAAGTTTAATGTTTAACAATGACAGGAACAAGTTTAATGTTTAACAATGACAGGACCAAGTTTAATGTTTAACAATGAAAGGACCAAGTTTCATGTTTAACAATGACAGGACCAAATTTAATGTTTATCAATGACAGGACCAAGTGTAATGTTTAACAGTGACAGGACCTAGTTTAATGTTTAACAATGACAGGACCAAATTTAATGTTTAACAATGAAAGGACCAAATTTAATGTTTAACAATGACAGGACCTAGTTTAATGTTTAACAGTGACAGGACCTAGTTTAATGTTTAACAATGACAGGACCTAGTTTAATATTTTATATATATTTTTACTTTAATGAGCTTTTCATTTTTTTGTTTTATTGATACATGTACACTGGTATGGTATTTTTAAAATGTTTATAGAAATTTTTCAATGAACCTAAGAACTTTTTACACATTAGAACAAAAATCGTATTTCAGATTAAGTCATTTTTCTAATTGGACAATTGCACTTAGGAAATTATTAAATGCAAATGTTTTGACAAAACTTAAATATTTTTCTTTATATCAGATCCCCAAGATCCAGAGAATGTTGATATTCAAAAAGCTGTAAGTCTAAATACCCATTGATAGATCAATTTGTTTTGTGGAAGTGTATGTATGTGTTAACGTTCCTAATGTTTTCTTTATTTTGACCTATATCTTGTTAAGTTTCCAATGAGTCGCTCAATAAAGAAAGTGGATAAATAAAAATGTATTTAGAAATACAAAATTAATTCTCTTTTTACATCATGCTCGTTAGTTAGATCTTATTTCTTTAATTTTTTATGATTTTATGTCTTACAATGAACATTTGCATCACGCTAGAACAAAATCTGGAAATGAGTCCTGAACTGAATTTATTTAGTATAACCATTATTTTTACCATTTTCACATCTGCCAGTATCATGAATATAACTAAACTTGACCAGCTGTAGTTGGTTTAACAATACTTATTATCTGACTCATTCATTCTACCCACTCACCACTTCAGTGATAAAAATATTGTAAGTGAAAAGAAATAAATAGCGTGGTAATAAGTAACTTTTCTCTATAAGCCACTAGCAGTGTTACCTGGCATTGCCCAGGTTTTTGAAAAAAAAAAAAACCTACTCTCTCTCTGTTTCCCCTTTCCATATTACGATAGGTGAAAAGTAACTTGTAAATTTATGAAAAGAACTACAACAACTTTTGTTTGATTTTTGAAAATATCCCACGAACCTGTTTTAAATCAGGGCTAGGATATGAACGATGGTTTTTGTTTTTCCTTCACTGGCAAGGATAAATAGGCCCTTATGAGTACCTGTTCTAGTGAACACGATATTCCTAGCTCTACTTCCCCCATCCCCCCTCAAATATTAAAATTCCAAACGGAAATATATATATATGTAATATTATGTTGAATTTGCTGTCATGTAAATTTAATATATTTTAACACTGATGTATGAAATATTCTACAAACAAAATTCAATATTGTACTATTGCATATCTGCTTGTTTGTTAATTTTGGGTATAAATTCTTTCCGAGGAACTTCAGCGATACAAGTCCTTTCTTAATTAAAACTAGTTTATTTATTCTTGATACAACTTTGTAATACACAGAATTTCCACAGTCACTTTAAACTTAACAACCTGTATAACACACGCTATAAATCACAGTGATTCATACACTTTACTTACAGTGTGTACTGGTTGCCTGACTCAATTATCTATCTCTTCAATCCATGTATACCTCTTGAATTGTGCTGGTTTTTCTTGCCAGCCTTATATAGTAAAAAATAGGGTGCCTCGAACAAACTAGAGTTGCCAGTAAAATTCACGATCCTTCGAGAAACCCCAGCGTGCATTCTCCTAGAGTCACGTGACTTCCACTGTCGTAACAGTACTTTATAATGTATCAAAATAAAAAAAATTCAATTCCGGGTATTGAATCACCGGGAGAAAAAAAGAAGAATAAAATACATTAGCTGATTTGACTATAATCTGTTCTTACACAGTAGGTATTGTAATGTAAGCCTTACTATTTTCATGTAGCCTATTTTATGGTAGCATGATTTTAATTTATAGGCTAGGTCTACTGTGTGCTTTTTCACCCATAATGTTCTAATTCTGCATACATTTCTTTTGTGTGTGAGTTTAAATATATGATCTATTAGTAGATATATAGTTAATGATCTATAACTAAATAGGCCAATAATGCTATATTCTAAATTAAATGTTAACTCAAACCTACCAAAAAAATGTTAAGTTTGCGTAGAATTTATTCGTGTAACATATATATGTGAACGATAAAATTACCGGTTTGGTAGCAGACGATAGATAAGTATATCAGCAAAAACTTTTCATTTTGTGCACCTTCACGTGAGGCAAATCTGACCTGTGCAGTGAACGAGGTGGTGAAACAAGCAAGCGAACAAACAGAGAGATTTTGAGTTTTATATATAGATAAGGTAGATTTCAAAGATAATTTTTTTGATAAACTAGTTGTTTTATTGGAGTTGTGAACATACTGAAATATGGTTGTATAATGCATGTAATTTTTATTTTTAACAATGGTTATGCTATTCATCAAGTTTTTCTCTTGTTTAGATTTCTCAGTAGTATTGAGTAAAGCATTAAAGTTTGTATTCAACATAATGAAACTCAAGTTTCTTTGAAGGAAGTTTTCAGTCTTACCAAACATATCACACACAACACCCTTGTCTCACTTCTTAGTTCATGGTTGTCCACAACACCCTTGTCTCACTTCTTAGTTCATGGTTGTCTATAGTACCCTTGTCCCACTTCTTAGTCCATGGTTGGCCATAGCACCCTTGTCTCACTTCCTAGTCCGTACCATGGACTAGGAATTGAGACAAGGGTGTTGTGGACAACTATGGACTAGGAAGTGAGACAAAGTGTAAACTATGGACTAAGAAGTGAGAAAAGGGTGTTGTGGACAACAAAGTGAGACAAGGGTGTTGTAGGCAACAAATTGTTACATAACAATGAGAGATTTAAGTTTTCAATAATGATAGTTGACACACATACATTTTATATGTTCTAAAACTGCGTGTATTATAAATGCCTTTACTTTGTTACTCGGTCACTAGCACAAAAGCATATAGAGTACCTTTATTCTACTTCCATACAGGATGTCCAAAATACTTCACGCCCAAATCTAAGTATCATGTTACAGTTTGTTTTTTAATGACAAAATATTAATTTTCTGATACACTAAGATCAAAGAAAATTATTACATGAAAACACTAACATCTTCTGTATCTTTGTCAGTCTTAAAGCTATACATTCGGGTATTCTACATGTTAATTTATGAGCCATATCTGGTAACTTTTATCTTCTAGAAACCCCCAAAAAAACAGTCATGCTACAATAGGATATTGTGGACAACAATGGACTAGGAAGTGAGACAAGGGTGTTGTGTACAACTATGGACAAAGAACTGAGACAAGGGTGTTGTGGACAACCATGGACCAGGAATTGAGACAAGGGTGTTGTGGACAACTATGGACAAAGATGTGAGACAAGGGTGTTGTGGACAACTATGGACAAAGATGTGAGACATGGTGTATACAAAATGAAAATACATCTTACAGTCATCAAACTGTAACTATTAAAAACATAGGAAGAATTTAAATATGATAAAACCTATCTGTAGTATGATTATTTGCTCTTCTAGTGCCTGGTAGAGGCAGTGTCTCTTCTGGATATATTGTGTCAAGCAGATTCGTCTCTGGTCCTGTCAGTTGTTCCAACCATCAGGAGAATTTATGACCGGCTGTATGCACAGGGCACCACTCTGGTTAATCTTGGAAATGTTTCAGTTTTATGTTCTGTGGTTCAGTTCTTCCTACATCACAGTAAGTGGAAAATGTAAATTCACAATGAAACAACAGTTTAGAAGTTGTGTCAACTTTAGATGTGACATTTCATTTAATATATAACTGATGGAAAAAATAGTTTTGTTTATCCACGTGGTTTACAAGTTTTGAAAAAAACATCTTACATGAGCAAGCAATTGTATCTTTTTTAATTCATATTTAGGGTAATGATGGTTGAGTTCATTCATATACATGGAGTCTTAAAATTCAGAAGTGTAAAAGTTTAGGTACTGATCCAACTGCAACAATCTACTTGCACTTGTTACAAAACTTATAGTATGGAAAGTAAATGTGGATAGAATTCTCAGTCATTAAAGCAACACAACTTTTTCAGGCAGCCAAGAAGCTTTTCTTTTAATTGCATTGTTAATAATAAAGAATATTTTTGAACTTGTCAACAATATTTGTAACAGGTCAATTGTAGTATGTAATAATATGTTCGCTATATGTATTTATCACTGATCATACTTCTCGTTAGGTTCTGCTATAATTCACAAATTGGATGACGTTTATGTCTTCTTGTTCCGTGACCTTCTTCCTCATATTTGTAAAGACAGCTTTACCGCTTGTGAAATGGTTTTTCTCATTGAGAACAATTTATCTCAGCTCTGCTACCAGACAAGTATCCTAGAAAAGTTCTTCCCTAACATTCTGAAGGTTCGTTTGTGTTAAAAACTCAGGACAGAATAGATTTACGTTATTATTTCACTACTTTAATATTGATTTTGAATATTATATCTATGGTGGTACTTTAATATTGTATTTATGTTGGTACTTTAATATTGAATTTAATATTATATTTATGGAGAAACTTTAATATTGAATTTGATATTATATTTATGTTGGTACTTTAATATTGAATTTGAATATTATATTTATGTTGGTACTTTTATATTGAATTTAATACTATATTTATGTTGATACTTTAATATTGAATTTCATATTATATTTATGTTGGTACTTTAATATTTAATTTAATATTATATTTATGTTTGTACTTTAATATTGAATTTAATATTATATTTATGTTGGTACTTTAATATTGAATGTAATATTATATTTATGTTGGTACTTTAATATTGAATGTAATATTATATTTATGTTGGTGCTTTAATATTGAATTTAATATTATATTTATGTTGGTACTTTAATATTGAACTTTAATATTGAATTTGATATTATATTTATGTTGGTACTTTAATATTGAATTTAATATTATATTTATGGTGATACTTTAATATTGAATTTAATATTATATTTATGGTGGTACTTTAATATTGAATTTAATATTATATTTATGTTGGTACTTTAATATTGATTTTGAATATTATATCTATGGTGATACTTTAATATTGTATTTATGTTTGTACTTTAATATTGAATTTCATATTATATTTATGTTGGTACTTTAATATTGTATTTATGTTTGTACTTTAATATTGAATGTAATATTATATTTATGGTGATATTTTAATATTGAATTTAATATTATATTTATGTTTGTACTTTAATATTGAATTTAATATTATATTTATGTTGGTACTTTAATATTGAATGTAATATTATATTTATGGTGATATTTTAATATTGAATTTGATATTATATTTATGTTGGTACTCTAATATTGAATGTAATATTATATTTATGTTGGTACTTTGATATTGAATTTGAATATTATATTTATGTTGGTACTTTAATATTGAATGTAATATTATATTTATGGTGATATTCTAATATTGAATTTGATATTATATTTATGTTGGTACTCTAATATTGAATGTAATATTATATTTATGTTGGTACTTTAATATTGAATTTGAATATTATATCTATCTTGGTACTTTGATATTGAATTTAATATTATATTTATGGTGATACTTTACTATTGAATTTGAATATTATATCTATCTTGGTACTTTAATATTGAATTTGAATATTATATTTATGTTGGTACTTTAATATTGAATTTAATATTGTATTTATGGTGGTACTTTAATATTGAATTTAATATTATATTTATGTTGGTACTTTAATATTGAATTTAATATTATATTTATGGTGATATTTTAATATTGAATTTAATATTATATTTATGTTGGTACTTTAATATTGAATGTAATATTATATTTATGGTGATATTTTAATATTGAATTTGAATATTATATTTATGTTGGTACTTTAATATTGAATTTAATATTATATTTATGGTGATACTTTAATATTGAACTTTGTATCTGAAAAACTGCTCTATTAAAATATAAACAAAAAATTTTAATCTAATCATAAAAGTATTAAATATAATAGTTATTCTCTTTGTAACTTCAGTAAATTCCTTAGAACAGTAAAGTTTTAAAATTGCATTTAAAATATGAGTATTTTCAATTTTGGAAAATGCTGGAAACATGTTTAGGAAACATATTTCTGATATGGTACATTACCTCCGTTCACATAAATAGCTATTCTAATTTAGTGCGCTCGACTCGCAATCTGCGGGTTGCGGGTTCAAATCCCCGTCATACCAAACATGCTCGCCCTTTCAGCCATGGGGGCATTATAATGTGACAGTCAACCCCACTATACGTTCGTAAAAGAGTAGCCCAAGAGTTGGGGTGGGTGGTGATGACTAACTGCCTTCCCTCTAGTCTTACACTGTTAAATTAGGGATGGCTAGCACAGATAACTCTCTTGTAGCTTTGCGTGAAATTCAAAACAAACAAACAAACTAATTTAGTGCTGCCCTCGATATCTTTTATGCATGTCACAAGCCTTCTGCCTCCCTTACATTGGAAATAACTCATTCCAATGTGTGTCTCATGCAAATCATCATGCATCAGCCCTCCACCAATGAGAGTACCACACACTCTTGTTATGCATGTAACTCCCAAATTCATAGTTGTATTTTTCTATAATTGATTTCACAATATTGTTTTTTTTCCTCTTCACTTGGTTTGTGTGGAACTCTTAAGCCAGGGTCCACACAAACTTATCCCAATATTGTTCGGTTAAGTATTTCTTTTTAGAGCTTAGTGATGTTTTTTTATGTATTGTTCAGTTAGGCTTTTTAAATGTTTATTTTCGTTTTATTGATAGTTCTACTTCCACATTAATTGTTAATTATGTTAAATATATTGTTCAATTAGGCTTAATAAGTGTCTGTTGATTTTGGTTTCCCCGTGGTTTATTAATATTTAGGTGATCTTTTTTTCAACACAGAACATCACATCCATATGTTTATTTCACTACGCTTCGGACACTTTTGAAGGATACTTCTTTTCCTCCTTCACACCAGTCCCTCCACCTATTCAGTGTGGGATTTTAGCTAATTATGTGAGTGAAGGCAATGTACCATATCGGAAGTTATAATTTTCCTATACTAAAAATATATTTCCAATAGGTACTTACCTCCTGTCACACTTCCCACCCTTCCTCCCCACTGAAAACTGGTGCTTCCATTTCTGCTAAAACTCGAAGTGATAGTCTGGTAGGATGGAATAAAGGGAGTCACATGCGTAATGAGAATGTATGGCACTCTCATGGTGGAGGATTGTCGCATGATGATTTGCATGAGAGACACATTCGAATGAGCCATTTTCAATGGAAGGGAGGCAGAAGGCTTGTGGCATGCATATTTTTTTTTCATATAGAGGGCAGCACTGAACAAGAATAGCTATTTATGTGGGAGGTAAGTACCTATCGGAAATACATTTTCAGTACAGGAAAATTATAACTTTCTATATTCTAAGTTTAATTTTTTCTTTCAATATAAAACATGGAAAAACTGAGTAGTGCTTGCTGTAGTAAGAGCTGTATCAATTTCCATGGTTGAGTGATCAAATATTGTTTAAACTGATGGTGCACTTGGATTTGTAATAATCAGTTTTCAAGTTTAAAGAATTGCAAGTGATTGCGACATTAAGTGAGATGTTAATGTCTTCTTTTAATGAAGTTCATGCACACATTTATAACAAAACCTAAGGGTAATTTGTTTTTACCTGTGTATTGTGTGATGTATTTCAGAAAACTAGATTTTTTATCATGTAATCAGAATTTTTTGAAAAATTGAATAAATTATAAGAAGATGGGTGTGTTAAACAAATTGGATTAGACCATGATTGTACATAAAGACCCAGCTCTTGTATCAAGGTTAAAAGTTTGGAATTTGTAACTAAAATATCGTAGAGATAGTTCTTTGTTTTTTTTTTATATTTTAGCCCACATTACAAGTCTAAAAGGTTTGCTTGTTGGATCACCAATTCTTGGTAATCAGTAGGTTGATTTAAGAAAGTAATATATGGTTTTAAAATCAATAGATAATATAGTGCTTACCCTTAATTCTGATATGTATTAGCTTAACTAAAACTGATGGAAAATTACACTTTACAAAATTAATTCATTTCACACTATAACAGTTATCAACAATTTGCTAGTATAAATAGTGTCTCAATCATTACAACATCTGTTATGTTCCAGCTATCCTGAATACTGGTATTGGGTGAAAGGTCACCGGATATAACAAGTGTAGTGTGGCTTCTTCATTATTTTCTCTCAGAAGTTCTTATTAATAACTGTCCAGGTTTCAGAAAACTATAACTTTTGATCACCATATTTTCTTAAGATTATTCTTTCAGTACTTATTTATACTCTTTATTACAATTTAGTGTTCTAGAACTTATAAAGTAATAAACCCTTCATTTTAGAAATGTTACTCACCTCATGCTACTGCTGAAAAGATTTTGTGCAAATATCGAGCATTTGAATGAAACCCCTACACATCATAATGTGTATTGCTGCACATCCTCCATACACAGATAATATATAAATAGGAAACTGTCACATCCTCCATACACAGATCTCCCCATGTGTTTTTAAAAAATCATTCTTTTTCTTGACACAGTAGTGTTCAGTCGTGTTATTTTTTCATTTTTGTGCTTATTGTTTTTGAACTTTTCATTAACATCTGAAATGTTATCTTTCTTACCATCATTATATTGATTTCAAGAAAGAAAAATTCAAATTGTAATTAATTTTATTTAGATTTTCTTTTATGAATTATTAACTTTTCTCATGTTACTTTGATTTCTTCTCTTAATCAAACTATAAGATTTTTGGACACATGCTCCAGTGTCTGTGATATGCTTTCTTTGATGGAATATTCCTCATTATAATTAACTCAGTGTTTGGGTTTTTGGCAGAAGCCAATAATTAACCTCAGTTTCATTACTATGTAAATAGCCAAGGCTTAAGTACCACAGACATACCAGACCTTACAAAAAAAAAAAGAAAAGAAAGACAAACAAATTAGAAATCAAAATAATGTTAACAATTTCCAGTTTTGTGGATTTTATTGAATCCTACTTCTCATATCCAAATTCTTTTTAATAGGTTTTTCTTAATTTCCTTCATTAGTAACTGATACTGGTCGTTGTTTCTGCCATTTTACATCACTTGGTTGTTTCTTTCCTACATTTTTCATCTTGGACCCAAGTCTTATGGCCTCCTGATTCTGTAACTTCTGCTGAGCTTGCCTTGTCTTTGGATTACTTTGACCATCTTTTTCCATTATGTGTATTTGCTTCTGATTCTTCTATCCCTGATGAAGATCAGGTAATGCCCACCTTTCTCCTTTGCTTTGCTAATTTAAATATTGGACATTTTCT